ATTATATTGTGGAACGAAAACAAAAATGGCGTCTTTGGTTAATTAAAAAGACAGGTGTGTCTATCCAAAATAAGGAGACAAAAAAAAACGGGTTCAGGCAACAGTTCAATCGAGGATAAGATTTAACATCACAGCCGGGTGGACGAAGAGACACAATCAGCGGATTAAATCTGTGGAAAGAAAAACGGAGTCATGCAACAGAAAGAGGGAGAAACTGGAGGATGGCGTGAAGGAAACGGGAAGCTGGTCGCCTAAAGGGATCCGGAAACTAGTTCCTTTATTACAGAAAGGAAAGAACACGTTTCAAGAAAGGAAATCTGATAAAAAATGTGTTTTAAAAAAAAGCCCAATCAAAAAAGGTTTGAAAGCGTCGTAATGAAAAAGGTTTAACCTATATCTTTTAGATTTTATTTTATATAGTCAGTTTTCGTATTTCATTTTTCAAAGGTCTCTTTCCAAGATGCATTTTTAATATTTCAACATTTTCTGAAAAAGAAATACTAAAAATATTAAATTAGTAAAAATATCCAACTGTAAAAATGTTTTTTGAATGTTGCAAAAACATTATAAATCACTAAAAACAAATTTAACCTAATAAACTTTTTCTAAACACATTTTCTTCTTTGAAACATGTTCTTTCTTTTCAATAATTCTGGAACATATTTCTCTCCATAAAGGGGGAGGGGGGTTCATGGGGGAGGAGGCGGATATCTCAGCAAAGCAACAGGATGGCTGTGAAATACAGCTGCTGGAGGGTGAGGAGCCTCGCACCCAAACCTTCACATCCAGCGGCGATGATGGAGCTAGGCTAGCCTGGATGCTACATGACACAAGGCTGCGACTGGATTACAGATTAAAACCCTGACTGTCACTGAGATGAAGGGAAAGATGACAGATTATTAGAGGAACACTTCAGCAGTCGTTTGATTGATGATAAAACCTCCAAAAAATGTTCTTTTCACTGAATAAACTTAGAGCTTTAAACGATAAACCGTGAATCATCTTTTGTTCTTAAAACGAACAATCAGTGAAGTTTGGGATTAGAATATTCTGGCTCTTTTCCAGTCAGTCACCCCATCAGGGAAAAAGAAAAGAAATTAAACATGGAGGACGTAGTTATGAAATGTTTACAGCTTTAAAAGGTCGAGTTAGTCGTTTACTTCTGGATGAAGAATGAGAAAGAGGTTTAGTCAGGAAGGATGACGACGGTCTGAAGGTTTAACAACGAGCTGAAAATGATACGATCCCTGAAGGTCAGGAGGGTTTTACTTCCGCTGCATTTCCCCCTGAAGAATCTCACTAATTGATTCGGCTTAAATCTTAAAGTTAATATCTAAATTAGGGCTGCAGCTCTAAACAAAAAAACATCTTAAATCCATTCTAAATGCATATTAAATGGTTAAAATGTAAAAAAAAAATCAATTCAGAAGTTCTGATAAACAGTATTAACAAAAAAGGGAGTTTTTTTTTAAATAATTTATGCTAAATGTATTTCCATTTTTACAGTTCTGGCTTAATTATTGGTCTGAGTAGGTTTTCTCTCTCCAGCTCACATTTATTCTATTACTTGATTAATTATTCATTTAATTTTATTGAGTCAAATTTAAGACCGTAATTTCTTGATTATGACCACAGTTAGTCCGTCATTAAATTTGAACTAAAATGATGGAGGAATAATCTCATCTAATCTTCCTTATCTAATTTTCTTAATCCTAAACATTTGTAAAACCAAACATGTTCATGCTGACGGAGGCACTTTCTGCATATATTTCATTATGTAAACATTGAATCCTATTATTTATATTGATAAAAATAAACCCTAAAATGAAAAATTAAAAGATAAATTCATTGAGAAAAGAAGTTAAAGGATTTAGAAGTATGTTTGGTTGCGTTAAACTCTGCGTCGCTGCAGAGAACGGCAGTGATGGAGGCCTACCCTGGGTGGTGAGCAGGACCTTCTCTGCGTTGCTCGGCAACCCCAGCCAAGATGGAGTCTGAGTGTCGGGGAGCATCTCTACCCAGTGCATGAACTCTTCTCGCCTGGAAACCAAATCTGGGTTTACATCTGGTCTCCGTCTTTCTGTCATTTTGTTTTCAATCCCGCTGGAGGTTACCGACCTGATGCCGTCGGGCATTTTGATGTCCTTCTGTCCGTCCACCTTCAGAGCCAGTTTGAACTCGCTGTCGAAGCTTCGCTTGGTGAAGATGCGATCCAGGAAGGTGATGAGGAGCCGCTGGTCGAACTCGTTGTCGATGCGGCCGCCGTAGATGGACTGGGCCATGAGGGTCTTGAGGGCGGCCCAGGGGATCTTATCTGGAGCGATGTTCTGACGACCCTGCGTGTTCGGATAAAAACAGAGCAGGTCAAACCGTCGCGTTCCTTAAGCTACAAGTTTCTTTCCGCTGTAAATAGAAGGCGTGTCATCGCTGCGAACCTTGGCGGTGTCGTCCAACCAGGTGTCTATCGTGTCACAAGCAGAGCGGAGGTCGGACTCTCCGAACTCGTATTTCTTGGACCAGCCGAGCGGCGCGTACCGCAGGCGCTCCTGGATGACCGCATGGAACCAGGCCAGCAGGAAGTAGAGCCGAGCTCGTTCGTTGGGGGCCTTTAGAGGAAAGACGATTAAATGGGTGAAGAAACCAACTTCCTGTTTGAAAGCCGTTTCACAGCTGATGTGTTTTTTTCTTACCTTGCACATGCGAGCCACCGGGATGCTGCTGAAGGTCCGGAGCATGTTGGCTTTGACTCCAGGAGGAGGTTCGAACACGAAGATACGGCCGGCCCGCAGCAGGTTCACCGGGACCTGGGAGACACAAAGATGTACTGAGGATCCTTAGACTGCTTCGATTTACAGGGAAAACCATTTGTTTTTCATCTGCTATTGAAATGTAGGTAAATAAAGATAAAAATCAAAACAAAAACTACTTTAATGTGAAATGAATAAAATTTTTTAATTTGGGGATTCTTCAGGGTGTGTTACTGGGATCAATGTGTTTTCCTTATCTTGAATATTTCTACAATTCAAACGGTTTGAATATAGAAAAATATGTATTGTGAAGGAAACAAACTGATTTTAGATTATTGAATCTTACGGAGTAAAATAAATAAAAATTTCACTAAATAATTTCAATATATAACAAATAGGGCTAAAACTATATATATATATATATTTATTAAAATTTTGCTTTAAGATAAATATTAGTCATATTAATAAATATTAATGTACATATGCTCTATCCAAAACTCCTCAAGTGGAAAAGTTTAGAGTTTAACCTTATTTAATTTTGTAAAAAGTTATCTTTAAGGAACCTTTGGCAACCTGATTATTGATAATTTAATTGAAAAAAAGCTAGTTTGCACCTCTAAGCGAAGTAGTCAAAATAAAGAAGAAAAGTGCAAGATTCAATGTGAAAAAACACAAACTTTTGATTGTGAAAGGGGTGAGCTAAAAAACAGAGCTGGGATACAGGAGCTAAAGCTAATACTGATAGCACTGATAGCACTGATAGCGATGCTATCCCCAGTCTCTACAGTCTATTTAACCTTCTTTAGCTTCTGCTCAATTTAAGGCTTATTCTGAATAATAAGACTCTACTTTGGGGTTGATCTCCATTGTGAGGAACAGCCTGAAGCTGGCATGAGGCTGCATGGAGTGCAGCTTCTTCTCTAGTTGCATCAGCCAGCCGGGGGCCAGGTGGACGTTCTCCAGCATCACCCACCTACAGGAGACCAAACAACACTTTAAATACAACAACTTCAGATGCACATCCATGCAAATGAGTGAGCAAAGTTAGTCACCTGCCAGACTTTACGGCAGTGTTGATGTCTCTGTCGGCCTTATTGAAGCCTTCAGCTGAACCTGTGGAGACGCCACCGTGCAAATGTTTAATACGCTTCCATCAAGCCCTTCATTTTGAGGATAAGTGAATCAAAGGCGTTACCGATGGACACAGAGGTGATCTGCTTGTTCTGCTCAGCAGCCAGATCTCGGACCAGCCCGCTGGCGTCGTAACCGGGGACGGAACACATCAGGACAGGAGTGCTGGGCTTCACCTGCAGACGCAGCAACAGAGCGGTCAGCGTTTTTCTCTCTTCAAGGTTCCTCTCAGCCAATTAGATTAACTGGTTTAAAGCAGACCCCCACCCCACCACTGGAAACGGTACCTCGCTGTCCACAATATTAGCCAGGTCAAGAGGCTGCTCAATGATGCTCATGAAGGTGTCTCCCAGCACTTTGGAGACGAAGATGTGGGACATGGCCAGCAGGCGGTCGGGACGGAAGGCCTGGATCAGCAGCAGCATGTGGACGGCCTGACCAATGGGAGCTGAGAACAGAGTGAGTAACCACAGATCAGCACGGATCACGGATCGGTTCTTAGCTCATCACTCATCACGACGGCGGATCGATCTACTGACTCGACTGTTTCTCCTCCGACCACAGGTAAGGAACCGCCAACTCTGGAGTGTTGCTCTGGACCCACATGAAGAATTGCTGAGGGAATAAAGAGATGAAAACATGGATACAAGCGTTTTACTGGATGAGAAAAACCGATTCAATCGTTAAAACCAACTTTTCCCTCAGAGGTGTGCAGGTAATCTACACCTAAGGAGCATCTTTATTATCATTATTATTTTTTGGTAATTGTTTTTGGTGCCGCTCGGTGTAGGATGTATTGCTGTAAGCCCTACAGTTTGTTCTTTGTTTTTATTATTACTATTGTTATTATTTTTTGTCTTTGTTTTTTTCTTCTTCTTTTGGTCTCTGTAGCACTTTGAGATTTCTTTGAAATGTAAGGTGCGTTACAAATAAAATCTATTATTATTATTATTATTATTATTATTATTATCTTTAACCTGAGGTGAAACATCTAAAAGCTATGGAGTGAATTTTGTTCCATTATTTTTGAAACCAAGGAATATACTCCGTAAACAGAAATGTAAAAAAAAAAAAAAAAAGATTCAATCTGTAAAAAGACACTTTGATCAGATTCTATACCAAAAAAGGTTGTAAGAGTATAACTTCAGGTTTTCTAGTTTCAAATTGTTTTATTTCTAGCCATTTTTTTTTTCTTTTAATTTCTCTTCTTCCATTAAGAACTTTATAGATTTCACAGATCATCTTCTGTTCACCTTTAAAGAAATTTTTATTGGGTGTGTTACGAGTGTGTACGTCCTTAGCTGGTATTTGTTTCTTATGTGTATTTATGGTTTCTAATGGCAGCTACTACTATTACCTATGCACTTTTGAGTACATGACTAATTTCTTCTAGGGGACAAAGTATATTTTAGTCTATTCACTACCTGGGGCGGGCTTTCGTCTGGGGGAAAGGAGCAGACCATTCCTATTGGTCTGTTTTGGTCTGGGTTTGAAGTTAGACTATAATCTGTCACTAATTGAAAAGAATGACATATATATAAAAGCATCAGAAAAAAACGCAATAAAAATATTGAAATATGAAATCTGTTTTAAGACATTTTGAAAAAATAAAATAACTTTTGAATTTAAACATAATTGAGAAAACAGCCAAGTTGATTAAAATCCTTTTGTTGATTTTTAATTTTTGTATTGCAATTTTTATTCTAAATTAACAACCACAAAACATGTTTGCTTGCAGCAAAAATGGACCAATTTTCCCTCCGTACATGCTTGTGGTTGATGTGGAGAAAACTCAAAATAAAACTTGTTTAAATAAGAAAAAATAAAGAGGCTTTGGAAATGTTTTCTACACAATGTGCGATATTCTAAGCTTGTAGTCTTTGTTGTAGAGACCCCACGAAGTAGGCAATAATATTAGTTACAGGCTGGAGAAGTGCTTAAGAGCTGCACACACTGTTCTGTGAGGAAAATAAGTGCGTTAAGCATAATCCAGCCTTTAATCCCACCACAACCCAAACAACTGAAGCAGTAAAGATGTGATACAAAGAGCAGCTCTCATCACTGCTCACCTCGTCAGCCTCCACTTTGGCCACCAGGTCCTTGAAGGCGGGCAGGTGGCTGAGTCGGACCATGGCCTCGCACTGTTCTGTGGTCAGACCCTTCACTTTGGGCAGCGCCGTGCCCGTCAGGACGATCTCCTTACCGCGCAGGTAGTGCTGGAATTCTGCATCATACGGCGGCTCGCTGGACAGGAAATAATGACTGGTTTTATCTCATACGTTCCCATCAGTATGTCGGATAGTTTGAATCGCTCGTACCTCGTTATGCCCTTCAAGCTGATCTTAGCCAGCAGCATTGCAAAGGTGATGTGGTCCTGGTGCAGCATTCCCCGGGCCACCCTGTTGAACACCACCTGATTTGACACAAGATGGACGTTAACATCCGTCACAGGAGGGAGGGAAGCGACTGGTGGTTTGTTCCTCAAACCTGGAACAGGTCTTTGGTGATGAGAGCAAGTCTCTGCGAGTGATCGCTGATGCTCTTGAGGTTGGCGTTCTCGTAGAGCACGGTGTGGTACGTGTCCAGGAAGAAGTGCAGAGAGTACTGGTAGAGGAAGTGCATCTGGAAGGAGACGTAAACCCATCATTAGATTGGATCCTTTGCTATGAAAACAAACAGATTATATCTGGTTTATCCTGTTGGCGTTTTTGCAGAGATGAGACCTGGTTCAGAGCCTCCATGGTGAAGTAGATGCTGCTGCAGGCGGAGGACAGCGTCAGATACTGCTGAGACACGGCCTCCACCTCGGCCATCACAATGTCGGTCTCCTCCACCTTCCTGGTCACCTCGGCCGCCTCCTTCTTCAGGTTCTCCAAAGTGGTGATGATGGTGTCGTCGTCAAGGATACGACCCTTCACCTCGTTCAGAGCCTGCAGGAGGGATTTTTCCAGCTGCCGGAGACGCAGCTGGAACTCGCCTGAAAGCAGCAGGAGGAGAGAGACTGAATGAAGACAGCTGGTGGAGACGGGAATCTGCTTTGATCTAAACCATCGACTGCATCCCGGTTCCTTGGTCTTTAAGATGAAGGTTAATCTCTAATGTTCTAACCGACCATATGTTGGTCTGACATTAAATCCCATACTGCAAAAAACTGAAATCTAAATAAGACATTTTTTCTTAAAATAAGTCATTTTTTTCTAGAATTGAGGAGATGAATGAGATGCTTTGCCAATGGAACAAGACAATTTACATCTAAATAAGAAAAAATAATTACATTGTCTTATTTCAATAAGTAAAAACACTCATTTCATTGGCAAATCATCTTATTTACCAACACAGATTAAGGCAAAATGCACTTAATTTAAAACTAGGACTTCCAATATTCTGATACTACTTGATCTCCCACTGGCCATCAGTTTAATGGGTGACATTTTTCCCCAAAGGAATACATGAGAAGTGATGATGTCATAAACTGAAATATTTCTGGTGTGCGATTTATTATATATTTAAAGGCTGCATTATATGCCATTATTATCCGTAAAATAAGACTATTTTACTACACAGGTTTAAAATTTGAAATTACAATTTTATTTACAGAAATTGATTACCCCCGAACATTTCCCCCAGACCACCTTTTCACATTTATAAAAAACATATAAGTGTTTTTTATTTTTGTGCAGCGCCGACGCTCCTGGCCCTGATTTCTTTGCCTCACCAAAGCTGCTCTTCTGCAGCGTAGTCTGCAGAGCGCATGTGGTTTGCACACAACTGTTTTACCAGTTCAAGGATAAAATCTCTGCGTCAGACGGTGACGTTCAAACAGCTCCTGAACAAAACCAATGCGTTTATAGCTGCCATGTCCAGGAGATCGTAAAATACAGCCACAGGCCACCTTCCTGTTGGAGCTTAATTATTAATTTAAATAATTATTAATTTGACTAATCATCTAATCCGACACATCCACGCCAACCTGTGTGTGATTAAAGCAGACCAGGGGCTCCGGTTTGGCTTTTGAGCCGCCGAGTAGACCAGCTGAGGTGTGGACAGTGCTATCCAAAACTTGAACAAAAGTTTCACTATTGCCTGATGTGGGTCACCGATGCGTCTGCGCTTTCCCATTGGTGGCTATGGTCCTTGGACTCGCTGTCAGAATCTGATCCACTTCCCACCAAGTCCTCCTCCTCATCGGCCTCTCCCTCTCCGCCCCAATCGCTATCCTCAATTTGTTGAAGCATTTCTAAAGCATGTTTTGCTGTCAGATTTCTTCAGAGGCCCCTTTTTCCATATTAGCCAAAGAGTTCTGGGTGGAATGTTGGTTGCTAGGCAACGGTACGGAACGTCAATAAACCAGGAGAAGAATTTAAAATGCAACTAATAGAGCTGTCAAAATTAAAATAGAGAATAAATACAGAATAAACTACATCAATATGAAGGAAATGTAGAAACAGGAGAAGTCAGGTAACATGAGCAACAGATGATTAATGTAAACAAAGTTTTTTTCCGTTTAAAATTTCAGAACTGTCAAAATGGCGGCCTTAAGAGTTCTAGTGTTAAATCTTTACTTCTTTCTAGATGGTCTGTGCAGTGCATTGCTTCCTGTCTGCCTCACCTTGCAGTTTAAGGAGATCAGAGCGTTTCTCGTCCACGTCGGGCCGCTCCGCTTTCAGGACCTCGTTGAGACACTGACTCTGAAGGCTGCTGCGGGTCACCGTAAAGTTCACAAACGTCACACGAGAGCACAAGTCTGGCGGGAACTCGACCTGTTAAAAAAACAGGAGCAAGTTGTTCATTGGAGATCTGACTTTTTCATCCAGGCCGTTTGCCATGGAAACGACTGCCTCCTTACTGTTGGGTCTCGGGTGGAGAGGAAGATGACAAACGATGGAGACAGATCGATGTCCTGGTCTCCCAGGGTGATGAGGACACGCCCTCCGGTTCTGCGGACCTCTCTGTTCAGCACTGGGTTCAGGATGGGGTCATAGCTTTCCACGTCCTTCAATAATCAAAATAAACAAAGTTAATGATTTTTAGAACTCCTGTATCCGACGTGGACAGGATGAAAAGCCTGCAGGACCCACCTGGACCAGCAGCGGGTTTCCAAAACGCAAGGCGCTCTCCAGGTTCTTCCTGAAGGCGTCGTCCAGGAAACTGGTTCTGGTGATCTTGCGGTCCTTGTATTCGTTCATGATGAACTCAGTGGCTTGGCCTGACGGGTCGATTATCAGAGGATACCTGAAGGAGAGACGATCGATCAGGATTCAACTCCAGATGCGTTTAAACGACCTTTTGGTTTATTTGGGAAGACGGGCTCTGACCTGTTGAACCGTTTGAGCATGATGGCGTTTTCGGTGCAGAGGTCGTCTGCAGGGAGGGAGTTGGCCTGCCAGCGCAGCCTCTCGTCTGCATTGGACAGGTACTCCGTTCTGGCTATGTCTGTGCGGAACTGGGGGAGGAATTAAAGCCTGTGAGTGTCTCAATCATTAAGAACCAGATTGAAATATAAAACACAGACACGTCTCAGGATCCTCAGGAAAGCTTTAAAGAAACAACCTGTGAACCATATACCACCTGGTTTAAACCGCCAGCGGTACACGGCTGTTTTATCCACAAAGGTGGGCCAAGTGGGTTAAATATGCTGGATTTGAACAGATAGAAGCACTGAATGGGTGACCATGCAACGCTTAATAATGTATCTCTCATACTTCACTTTAAAACTCCTTGGTAGACAGTTTATTTTTTGCCTTTTTCATGTAGACCTATCTTTTCCAAGTAGTTAGATGTAATTTATTTAACTTTGTATATTATGTCTATAATATTTATACACTCAAAAAATAATTGTGAGTGGTGGTAGTTACATTTTACTGAAAGTAATTACCACTTTATTGTAATGCTCTCACAAAATGGGACATAAAAAATGTCAAACAGTTCAGCATTGTCCGGTTACTATGGTAACCTGACGCACTCCTTCTGGTCATGTGTTCAGCTTCACTCATTCTGGAAAAATTTTTTTTAATTTTTTTTCAGCAGCTTTTGGAAAAAAATGGGATCCAGATCCTCTTATTGCCATCATCGGGATCTCCAGTGCTTTGCCACCAGCCACTAAAAGTGAGAAAATGGCTGTCTTGTTTGGTACGGTGATTGCTAAAAGATTGATTTTGAGATTTTGGAAAAAGGACTCTGTGCCCATATTTGATTTGTATATATTTGAACTAGCAAATACTCTGCATCTGGAAAGACTGAGACAATATAACGAAGTTTTTCATGCTTGTGGAATGCTTTGGATCAATTTATGGAGTTTTCATCAGGTTGTCTTGATTGTGTTAAGTGTTCTATGATGTGCTGTTTTGTGAGGGTAAGGGAAGGGTGGGGATTTGATCTTTTATGTTAACTTTTGTATATCCATTTGGAAAATTTAATAAAGAAAAAAGAAAAAAAAAAAAGTTCAGCTCCTCATTGGGACATAATCCATCAATACTTGTTGTTCTTTGGTCAAAAGAATCAGAAATGAAAAATGATAGAGATTTCTTCTGGCAAAAATATACAAGTCTCAGGTTGCTGTTTTGGGTGAGTTTATTTTCAGCTCTGTGTTAGCTTATTATCACTCCAAACCCAGAGTTTCCCAGTGAGACCAGTCATCCTGTAGGTCGCATTGAGTAAACCAAGTTGCTTCTCTCACAGCCAGGTTTACGTACAGTAGCAGCCATTCAAAATGGCGCCTCCCAATGGCAGCAAAAACCCCTCCAGCTTCCAGATACTGGTCTTCTCATGGGCATGCATATTTTTAAATCTGACTTTCACTGAATTACAGGGTCTGACCAGGAGATGAGCTTCTCTTTAGATCTTGATGTCCACAAATCATGATAGAAAGAATATTTTAGATGTTTAAAAAGGGACCAGCCAAGGCGCCCATCAAGGAAAGTAGGGAAATTATGAATGGCTACTGCTGTACTCCCTCCTCAGCAACCTTAAACCCTGACACAGTGACGCTTTTGAAAATGACTAACATGAGGTGGCACCCAACAACAACAAAAAACAAAAACGCTGGGCAGGGCTTATGGTCAGCATTGATCCCTATGTTGTTGTGCTCAAGGCAAGAGCGGCACTAGATTGTATTGAAGCAGGAGCACCGGAATGCAAAGACAAAGATCTTCTGCCCTGATCTGCAGAGAGACTAAAACACGCTCTGGTTCAAAGACAGAAACAACCTCAGATCTAGTTCTCTGGTATCTTAAAGGAGTCAAATACCTGAATGTTGGCCTGCTGCAGGTGATGAGACCAGGTTGTGAACAAGTTCTGCCTCATCTGCTGTTCAAAGTAGCCGGCGTAGGTGATGAAGGCGGCGGAAAGCAGGCAGTCTCCTGCGATGGTGGACATCTGGTTCTTGAACGTTTCGCTGGTCTTCTCCCAGCGGTCCCTTTCAGCGGAAAGGCTCTTCAGCAGGGCCGTGCTGCGGTTCACCTGCAGGGGCGGAGCAAAACCAGTGAGAAAACAAACTTCCAGGACTTTCTGTTTAAATGAGAACTCCTCAAAGAGGAAAGGCGTACCTTTGCCTCGACCGCAGCCAGATCAGCCTTGATGGCCTGGGCCTCTGAGATGAGCACGGCATACTCCTCCTTGTAGCGGGCGATGCTGGCCTCCAGATCCCTAATCATCTGCTCCACCTCCTCTGCTTTCGTCTTGTTGTCCGTTGCATCGTCTTCCAGCTTCTGCAGCTCGTTACGCAGAGGCTCCACACGTTTCAGCATGTCAGCATAATTAAGCTGAAGGGATGAAGCGTTTTTGTTCATCGCCTGTGCTTTTACACGATTAGTTTTCAGATAGTTTAAGTTTACAGACCTGAGCAATCGCCCATTTCACCATAGGGCCACATGCCAGGGAAGCTCTGTTGACCCCTTCGTAGTTGTAGCTCGGGTTGGAGAGGTAGTTCTTCTTCATCTTCTCACGAATGGAGTCACTGAAGAAAGTAAAAAAAAATTTAAAAAGTTATGAGTTTAAGCAGAAGAAATGTGTCAGCAGTAACGCTGCTTAAGATTGCTCAGGTTTGCAGAGGTACAATCTCCAGAGAATCCCCGTCACACCGTGACGATCTGGCAAAAACGCTGGCATACATTGAATGAGTTCTGGGTACGTTTTGATTAAGTTGTGAGCACACTGAAGGACGCTCAAACACGCTAGAACACATCGACATACAGCTAATATGTCGAGAAATTTTTAGCACGCTCAAATTTTCCCGATGTATGCCAGCGAACGCCATACGTGGGGCAGAAGTTACAGGAAGTTATTGATCGTTAACATCAATTAAATGTAAGTTACTCATAAGTCATGGCATCTACTTTACTCAAAACCTATGAGTAACTTTTGCATAACTTATCAAGAACTTCTCTCCAACGCATATCAGCGTATCTGACGTGTTCCAGACGAGTACTGAACGTGTTTCTAACTTCCAGCTACTGTATAATGCCATATTGGCAGCGTTTTGGTATAAAAGGGGTTCACAGGAGGAATCCATCAGTTCTCCTCCAGACTTCATCGCCATCATAGCCAGAAGGTGAGTGTGATGGATCCTCCCTGCGTTCACACCCACCACCTACAAACTCCCTAGCAGACATGATCCTCAATCTGCTGCAACTGCAAACCTTCTGTCTTTCTTTTCTTTTTTCCCATTCTTTTTTTTTGGCAGGCTGTAAACAGCAGCTAGGTTAATAATGCGATCAAAGACATCTTTTTATGCAGGCTAGGCACATCGCTGCCCCCCCTAAGGACACTGGCTTGTGCCTCATTTCATGGGAATTACGCTGCCGTTATGCACAAGTTAGGCTGTCAGACATAAGTTCTGGACTTCTTAAGTATATGGCAAAAATGGAAAAAAATACACAGAAAGTTCGGTGTATGCCAGCGTTTTAGGAGATTCTGGGACGTCAGGCTGGTTAAATCGTCAAGATGTGACTGGGCCCACATCTGCAATCAGTCGGATCAAGTAATTGGCAATTAAAAATCAAGAAAAGAAATTAAATCATAACCAGAGTTCCTGAGCACGTCTTGTTTCAAAATCATTGTTCAAAACAGAACATTTGTTGGTGGTTTTCAGCCTAGTTTAAAATAGAAAACAAGGTTTAATACAGTTGAAAATCCAAATGGAGGTTGAGGTTTCAAAACCCCCCTGCTTGTCTCTCCCCCTTTACACCAGCTTCTTTAAATACTGTGACATCATGAAGGAAATGTCTTTAATAATCCTATTTTTTCCCCCAGACCTGTTAAACTGTATAAACTAGGAACCCTGCTTATTCCTGGTTGCATCATTTCAATGTTTGAAAATCTAATCCTCTTTCAGACCTAATTTCCTCAGAGGAAAAGTTGACGACGCTGCTGATGAAATTCTCTATAATAATAATAACTTCTGTTTTTTTTAATTCAGGTGCAGGTAAACCCGTATAACTGCACCTGGAGTGTTGGTCATGGCCCTCACTTTTGCTAACCTGACTCCGCCAGATGGATTTGCTCCGCATATCCATCTGGAAACCTTCCGTTGAAGTAATTTTGGGAAGGGGCGAAAATACTGGTTAGCTGATTGGCCTATGTTGGTGATAGACGGGCCAAATAAACCAATCAGATCAATGAAGCATATGACGTACTAACAGAGTGACGACAAAAACACAACCACAAGCCAGGCTACTCTTGCCGAAACCAGTCGGGAGTAGAGATGTCCCGATCCAGGTTTTTGCACTTCCGATCCGATACCGATATTGTTTTTGGACTTCCGATCCGATACCGATACTGGCCGATACCAGTCTATCAGAGCATGTATTTAAGTTTAAGTTAAACTATTTGGCCTTAGTTGTAAGACTCATGTTGAAAAGGGTTTTAGTACTCTTGATAACATCTAGCCAGCTAAATTAGGTGAGATTGAATAAAACACAATGCTTGGTAACAACAAACTTACCTGTTTATTAAGAGATAAACACAAACTGGACAAAATTATGAATAGCAATCTAATATTGCACAGTGAACAGTAAAACCGTAAACAGTTAAAGGTGCAAGTATTAGTGTAAGTTTTAATAAAAATGCAAAACAGGGGAACACTGGCGCAAAAAAGTGGAATGGATCGTTTCAATCGGCGAAACTGGAAAATACGGACCGGATTTTTTTTTAAAAACTGGATCGGCAGTCTGGATCGGCATTTTACATGCTTTGCCGATACGCATTTTTTTGCCAATATCGGCGTCCCGATCCGATACGTGGATCGGATCAGGACAAGCCTAGTCGGGAGAAGAGCAAAAACATCTTTTCCTCTGAGAAAAGCCTCCAGAGCAGTGTTTTGCTCTTCTTTCAGTGAAGAAATACTCTGTAATTCCGATAAACTTGCTTGATAGCCACGCTAACGCTAGTTTCATCGGCTGAAGCCGCCATGTTCTTTAGACTGAACTGTAGCGCTTCTCGTTGCGTCACACTTCAACCCGCCTCAAAGCCAACGCTGATTGGACGTTCGTTTGGTGAACGGCTCCAAATTTTCTTTAACGGAGAGTCTCCAGACTGATCTGCGAGTGAAACCTTGAAAGCTCGTGAGATCAGGATGGTCTCATGAGGCTACTCTTTTGCAAAGTCCTACTGCTTAATAGAACTCGTACCTAACAGAGGAAGAAAAAAAAAAAAGAACTTTTGTTTCACCTGATTTCTTCAGCTGAGAAGTTAACAATGGTTGGGATGAAGTTCTCCCTCATGATGATGGAACGGATCTGCTTCCAGTCTGTTGTGCTCTCTCCCAGCAGCAAGCAGATGGACTCCAGAGCCAGTTTCACCGCTGCGGGTGGATTGGCCATTGAACGCACCTCCACCAGGTGCTGCTTCTTTATGGACTTAACGGCTATCATTCCAGAAAGCAATGGGAAAGAAAGGGAGGGGCAACAATGGAGGACGAATGTGAACAGAGACCTGGAGGTTAGCTGGGAACAATTCTACTCAGATAGCTCTATAAAACTGAATAAAACAGCAAACAACATTGAAAGCCAACATTACCATTCTGAGCCTCGATGACGGCCGGCTCCACCTGGTCCAGGTCCTGTTTGACACTCAGCTGCTTGTCTTTGATCACTTCCTGCTGTTTGTACACGGCTTCCTGGATCTCCTGACTCATCACCTGGAATTCAAGGTAGAAGCAGCATGAAAATACTCATAAAAAAAAAAAAAAAGAGTCAGAATTTTGAGATTAAAGTCAGAATTCTGAGAAAAAAGTCAGAATTCTGAAATTAAAGTCAAAATTCTGAGCGTAAAGTCAAAATTCTGAGAAAAAAGTCAGAATTCTGACTTTTTCCTGTTTGTAATAAGTTTATTGACCTGATTTTGTTTAGTTTTGTGTTATTTTTATTAGGATTCATTTTATTTCATGTTTTTCTTTTTCTTTGTTAAGAGAAAAAGGAAGCAGAAAACGTTTTAGTGTAGCCACTGCCAGGCTATTTTTAAAGGAAAAGTCCGGTCACATCCAGAATACAAACCTCTGAAAGTACTTTAAGTATGAAATTAATAAATATTGTTCAATAAATAAGAGTAATTTTCAATTGGGGAGAATTGCGCACTGCACCGTGACGTTTCCTTTAAGGGCAAAGAATAAACAGTTCATTTCTGATCTGTTTTTCTGGCTGCTTAGATATTTCCTCTATGAACCAATATCGCTCCTCTAACGAGCTCAGAGAAGATCCTTGTTTATTCTTCGGCACTCCTGAGCTCCTATTATGGCTAAATGCTTTTTTTGTAAATTTTTTTATTGATTTAATGTGTCCGTCTACTTGCTCTAAATGGATTAAGTGTGTTTCAAGAACCTATCTGGTGATGAAACAGGTTGGTTTCCTTTGAGTTTTAGAAATCTTTTTCTCTTGTTTTTCTGTAGCAGCGTTTCTTCCCGTCAGGATAATACCATTTCCATATTGAGGGAATCGCTGGGGGTCTGTCCAGCCTAATTCATTTCAACTAGGTATGATTGGCAGGACTACGCGTTTTTTCGTATGATCGGACACCAAATCAGGTCTGGTCTGTCTCTGCCCTCTTTCTAACCACTAAATGCTAAGTGTAATTTGACAGAGCATTAGCACCATGGTGGCCTCTCACCTGGTAAACAGCATATAAAACAATTGAGTGATGCGTTCAGGAGCATCAAGTAAACTAAACTTCTAGTGAGTTAGATGAGGCAGTGAAGGGCTTTAACTCATAATCCACAGCAGCTGTTCTATTTTCTGTTTTCCAGCCCAGAAGACGTTTCCTCCTGTCTACCTTTTTCTTCTCAGCCTCCTGCTGGTCTTTGACCATCTTCTTCAGCTTGTCGTTAGCAGCTGCGTTCTTGGCTTCCAACTCCTGGCTCTTGATCCTCAGATCACGGCGAAGCTCCTCCACCTTGATGGAGACATTGATGCAAAGAACTTAGAAAGGAAAACCTTTTAAACTCCTGCTCGTCTTTGGAGCGGGGTTTCTACCTGATCGACCGTCTCCTTGATCTTCCGCAGACCAACGTTGAGATGCATCTGCTGCTCCTCCAGCTCGCTGCGCTTCTCATTGAACAGGTTGGCGTACTGGTTGATGAAGTCCAGGTAGTGGCGAGGAGTGATGGCCATGGTGTGACCTCCACGCTTGGCCAGGCGGTTGTTAGCCTGAGTCATGAGGCGACAAGCATAAATTTAGCATTTAACCAAAGACAGACTTGTCGTTTTTATCAGCTTGAGACTCTGCTCTCACCTGGTGGAGAGTCTGGTGAACAAACACACAGCCGTTGACGATGGCCTCGCGGTGAGATGGCGGCTGCGGCAGTTTGTCGTAGACGATGGGCATATAGTCTGGAACCTTGTAGTTGGGTTTCTCCAGATCCATCTTGCTGGTGAACTCCTTACCCACCTGGTACAGTGCCTCTGTTGACCAGTCTCCAAACCAGTTCAGCACGCACCTAAAGTAAGGAGAGGCCAGATTTAAATGCTTTCAATCCGCTTTTTATCTAAGTTAATCTAGCTTGTGTTTGCGACGAGTGTCTGTACCTGTTGAAGAGGGCAGGAGATGTGGCAGCCCGGTCCTTCAGGCCTTCTGACGAAGGGTTCATGGTAAAAACAACATGGAGGTTTCTGATAACCTGGCTGGTGAACCACTTGTAAAGCTCCTCGTGAGTGTCGAGCATCAGCCCCTCTTTCTGGGCTCCTTCCTTACACTGAGTCATCAGGGTGGCATATTCATCCCCTTCAAACAAACCAGGAACCTACGAAAAGCCCCCAGATAACCAGAAACATTTAGAAAAACATCAGTTTAATTGTATAAAAGCAGACTGAGCTGCAATGGAAGCAAAGAAGTCACCTCTCCATTGGCCAGCAGTGTGTTCATCCTCTCCAGGAAACCAGAGTCCAGCACGTTGGACTCATCCATGATGAAAGCGATCTTCTCATTCTTGCACCCTGAGCGTCGCAGCACTGTGCGAAGGTCTTCGTCAAAGTCCTCCCCGGTGTACTTCCTGTGGACCTGATGGCACCAAATATGAGTCGATAAATACATATTTAAATGATTTAAGGAAAACGATGGATTGTGGCTTTTTACTGCACCGACCTTAATCTGGTAGACACTCAGTCCGTTCATCCAGGCCACGAAGCGGGAAAGTGTCGTTTTTCCGGCGCCGCTTACTCCGATCAACAGCAGGTGACCCTGAGGCTGACGGAAGATTCTGCAAATGGAAAAACAAGGTGGATGTTTCAGACATTTTTATCCCAAATGTTTAACAAAAAAAAAAACAGCCTTTTAAAAGGCAATAGTCACATTATATACTCAAAAACAAAACAGACCAAAAACGATTTGATCCTTATAACATACGGCTATAAACGACAAGAATCCATCCTAATAGAAATTAGATCTTTTTTTAGCCTTAAAGGTATAGAGGACGATCTTTTATTTCCGGGTACTGTTGGATTAATTGTACAAGTTATTCTACTTTTAATCATATTACTTTAATCATATTATTATGCT